GGCTCCACAGTCAACAGTCTTGGCACCAGCAGCCAGGAAACTAAAAGGTGCATTGCCATGGGAAAGTCTGCTGTTAGGGACCTCTCCAAAGTACTGAAGAGCAATGGTGTCTCTCTGGAGACTAAGGTGCGTCTGATACAGGCCATGGTCTTTGCAATCACTTGTTATGCATCAAGAGAGTTGGACAATGACCAAGGAGGACAGAAGGAGAATTGATGCCTTTGAGCTGTGGTGCTGGAGAAGAGTATTGAGAATACCATGGACTTCTAGGAAAACAAACAGATTTGTCCTGGAAAGGGTTAAACCGGGTGGCTCCTTGGAGGCAAGGATTCTGAGGCTCCGTCTAACATACTTTGGACATGTTGTGAGGAGAGACCGGTCCTTGGAGAAGGACATCATGCTTGGGAGGGTGGAGGGACAGCGCAGGAGGGGAAGGCCCTCTATGAGGTGGATTGATTCAGTGACTGGGATAATTGGGATGGGAATGTCAGAGACAGTGTGATTGGCACAGGACAGAGTTTAGGGCTGTTGTACATAGGGTCGAGATGAGTCACAAGTGACTCGACGGCAGATAACAACAACAACAACATGTTGTGAAACCATAACCACTTTCCATTCCCAAACTTACCTGAAACAAATTTGCACACTTTAAGAAAGAATTCGTTAACACTTTGATGAGATACAAATAAAGTTACACTTCGGTAAATTCTCAACTTCATCCAGCCACCTGGTTTATCTATTTCTAACCAAGTTGCTTCTTGAAGGCAAGGATTTTGAAGCTCTAGCTCATATACTTTGAGCATGTTGCCAGGAGGTCCCATTCCTTGGAGAAGGATATCATGCTTACAAGGGTGGAGGGACAGCACAGGAGAGGAAAACCCCGGATGAAATGGATTGACACAGTACCTAAGGAATGGTACCTAACAACATTGGTGGCAAAGAAGCTGCACTGCAATCCCAAAGTCACACAGTTTATGTTTATATGTATATATATATATATAT